CTTCCCGGGTCCATAATCCCACGGCAAGAGGCCAGTGAGTAGTCCTCTCCAGGCGCGCAGATGCCTGACCTTCCGTCTGTCAGTACCCAGGTTAGTCCGGCAGCACACCCCAAATAAACAATCAGCAGAGTGGCCCCCCCACCATAAACAGTGCTGACCCGTAGGTCCCAAGTTGTAGCGGGGCGGTGCAGTATCCTTGGTCTCCCGGGCACAGTTAGGTAACCAGCTGGGGTTGCTTGTGGAACAGAGGCCAGCGGCGCTCTGCTCAGGTGCCAGCTCTTCCGCTGGCGTTGCCTGCAGGGTGTCAGGTCCTGGGCAAAATGCAAGGGTAGGGCAGAGGCCAGTGGTGCTCTGCTCAGGTGCCAGCTCTTCCGCTGGGGTTGCCTGCAGGGTGTCAGGCTCTGAGCAAGGTACAAGGGTAGGGCAGAGGAAGTGTGGAAGTTTAACCGGCTCGCCATGAGGTTGTAGCCGACTCAGAGTTCCATGAAATCAGTGGTGCGAGCCGGTATCCATTCGGATGAAAATTTCACGCAAGCCCCCATAGATGTAATGTAGCTGGTTACATGAGACTGCGCCCCTCATTCGGTAGATTGAAACTCCCGAACGCCATTTGTGTACATTCGTGGAAATGGGTCAGATGGGACTTCCATGGGGGACCGGGGATTGCTGGAGAGCCATGCCGAAATTAGTCCCACTGGCCGGCCGTTCGGGAGTTTAAGATGGCCGCCATCCATTGTTCTCACCACGTGTTCGTGTCCCGAAATGGCGGCCACCCAGGAGCACTCAATTAGCTTGTTGTTTTGTGCAATAACACAGGATTCTACATTCTAATTGCTAGCCAGGGTGGTCTTGGTTTGGTAAAATAGTTATTTTACCGAACAAGGGATTTTGACGAATTAAAGTACCGAACAATTAACAATAAAAGGTAGTGGATTCCACGAACAAAGTAGCAGGGAGGGAAAGTACAGAATGCATGGAGGGTGATTCTTCCCACCAGCATTTCAAAATTCCTGGCCTTTGAAATGCTGTCATTTCATCTAGAGCTCCAGACGCCATCTGGCGGACAGATCTGGCAACTGCACCCAGAGCCTTAGGAAGCAGTGGAGAGACGGTGAGCCCAGAGAGAGGGCATCTTGTCCAAGGGCTTGAGAGTATGGCTTCAGGGAGTAGTACTGGGAATTCTTGTGGTTGGCCATGAGATAGATCCGAGGTGTGCCCCACCTCTCCAACAAGGATTTGAAATTTAATAGATTTAATCTCCATTCGCCTGAGAGAATGCGAGTTATGCTCAGATAATCCAGTATGTCATTTTTTGGTCCAGGTAAGTTTATTGCCTTTAGGCCTTTTAAATGATGTTGAGCTTTGGACATTAGAGGTGTCCTTGGAGGAGTTAATTGTTTTTTGTGCAGCCTTGATGGTTTACATATGCTGCTACTGCCCTGTTGTCTGTCCTGATTAGAATCCTAGGGCTCTTGATGACATATTTTAGTTTCCTGACGGCATAAGAGATGGCTCTTAACTTCCTGAGGTTCTCTCTGCTGTATTTTATTATCCCTGAATCCATGTTGTTTCTGTGTGTACAACCCATTATGTCAGACTGGCATCCATTGTTTGCCAAGATGTATCTTCCAGAGGATAGCCCCTGAAAAGTTACATTTGTTGTAGCCACCATCTTAGTTTCTTCACCCAATGAAGAATGCAATGGATTGGTTCAAATCGGATCTCTTCTGGTGGAACTGATTCAGGAAGTTCTTCTGAATCAGTCTGGAGTACCATTGGGACCAGCGAACATTAAAATTCTTAAAAGTCAAAGAACCCAGCATGCTCATATAGGTCTTCGCTATTACAGCTGTTTTCTTGGAGGATTTGAAGAATCTTCTGTTTGATTTGTGACAATCTTTCAGGAGATAGATTTCATTTTGAAGCTATCATGTCTATTAAAGTTCCCACTGTTCACTGTTTGTTGTAAATGAGTTATTGAGCTTTTTTCTTTGTTGATTATGCAACCGTGCTCTTGAAGACATGACAGTGCTTGATTGGTATGGGACACAGCTTTCTTGAATGTAGGAGCGATGATCTGAATATCGTCCAGGTACTGAAAAATTGTAATGCCTTTGTTCCTGAAAAAGTCTATGAGGAAGATGAGGAGTTTTTAAATGGTTCTGGAAACAAGGCTTAAGCTGAATGGAAGGCCTTTGTGTGCTTCCCTTGGGTGGCCGCCGGTTTGTATTACTGAATGCCCACCAAGGGGAGCATTCGTCTCCTGAACAGTGCCGGACACCATGATATTCCAATTAAACGTTCACAGCTCATTAACGAGGTGTGAAAACCGCAGACTGCAGGGGAACGACTGGCATGTGCCGCACCTGGGTGGCTGCCCGTTCGTATTGCTGAACGCCCACCAGAGGGATCATTCATCTCCCGAACGAACTGTCTGTATATGCTGACTTGATCACAGTGTCCCTCATCCAAGTCCGCCACCTGGGAGCTACTAGTTTACGCTCATAGCCCCCCAGGAGAAAGACGCGGGCCGTGACCGCAGAGCTCCCGCTGGCAGCATGGAAGTCCGTGCCAGCCAATGGGAGAGGGAGCGCCCATTCAAACTGGGTTCGCGCCATTCTGTTAGATGGCCAGCATGAACAAAGCGCTGATTGGTCGCCACAGGGAGCGATCGACCAATCCGAGTAGGAGCACTCATTCAAATGGGTTTTGCGCCCTCCCGTCCATGGGTGCTGATTGGCACAAATAAGTTTCGGCCTTTCAGCGGATTGGTGACATCGGGTTTCACGCCCTATCTTCTGATTGGGCCGTGAAACCCCCAACATCCGCAGGCACGGATTGGTGCAGCCGAGTTTCACGCCCTTTTTTTGGATTGGGTGGCGAAATTAGTCCCTCCCCCTAACTCTTATTGGCGCGATTTGGTTTGCGTCATTTTGGCTGATTGGTCATTGCTTGGTTTAGGCTCAAAGTTTGAATTCACCGGACTAAACCAAGCAAATGATTCAGGTGATGTACAGAGCCTTGAGCCCCCCAATTCCGATGCTGATATCTCTGGCTCTGTACATCCAATCACCCCATGTTTTACAGGGATCCCAGATGGGACCATGGGCTATTCCCTCATATAAAATGTAACTCTGTATCCTCTTCCTGTCCCGGGGTGCTGAGCCCCAAAGTTCACCCCCCTGTATGTGAAGTGTACTCATGCGTGTCACTGTGTCCTGTTAGTATCTCCAGAGTGGGAGATAGTTGTCTGTTCCTCAGCCCCCTCCTATATGTGTGTTTGTGTTGTGCTGGATGGAGACCCCCTTCAGGGGCCTGTACATAAAAAACTGTGTGCCCAATAAACATTGTCAAACATTGTACCCTGGAACTGTGTCCCATCCTGTTACTGGATAAATGGGTCTGACCTACTCTAACCAAAGGGGATAATCATCCAGGTTACCCAGGTCCTGCTACACAGGTTCCATCTACTTTCCGACCTTTGGATTTATCTGGTCTTGTGGCCTCTGCCTCCTCTTCCATCTCCTCCTCTGAGGAACCCATGCAAATAGGCATGATTCATCGCCCCCTGACTGAAGAAGTACACAAGAGACGCCACTTTCAAGGGTTCTATCTATACTGTGGGAAAGCCAATCACCAACTGCGGTCATGACTCATCCGACCCACCACCTCACCTGGTAAGAGTTCCACAGCTCCTATTTCTTGAACTTCTTCTATTTCATCCGCCTTCTCATCTATCTGTCTCTCTTTTTCTCCAGTGGACCCAATCACAGCAATTATTGACTCAGGAGCCAGAGGCTGTTTCACAGACCAGACAGCCAATGTGACTAAAGTCACACCCTCTGTCACTATACGTGGTGAATGGAACTCCATTCAAGGCTGGACCCGTACTATGTGAAACCGGCACCATCTTTCTCCTCCTTTGTCACCACAAAGAGACTATTAACCTAGACATTGTACCCTCACCAATGATCCCACTCTCCAGGGTATTCCCTGGCTCCGCACCCACAACCCAGTGATAGACTAGATCAAAGGCACACACTCACTTTGTCTTCCACCTTTTGCACCACCACTTTATTAAATAAGACGCCCATGCATCGACTACCGTGCCTTAAATAATATCACTATTAAAAACCAATATCCTCTGCCTCTGATATCCGTGCTCCTAGATAGATTAAGGACGGTAAGAATATTCACAAAGTTAGATCTACGAGGGGCATATAACCTGGTTCATATCCATAAAGGAAATGGGTTGAAAACCGCATTCAGAACACACTATGGGCACTTCAAATACCTCATCATGCCCTTCGGACTCTTTAACACCCCGGCCACATTCCAACATTTCCTGAATGACATCTTCTGTGACATACTGGATTCTTTGATTGTAATATATCTAGACGACATCCTACTCTTCTCCTCTTTTCCTACAGAACACAACCAACACATGAGAAAGGTGCTTGTTCGACTCTGTGAGCGCGGACTGTATGTTAAAAGTCATTAGTCGTTACTATTGGTGGCCTTCCATTAAGACGATTACGTCCTCTTATGCGATGTATGTGCCTGATCAAAGACTCAAAGGACAAAACCAATAAGCTTTCTACAACCTCTTGCAGTTCATCAAGGGCCATGGACTTTATCGTGGATCTACCACTTTCACACAAATACAACACAATCTTGGTGGTAGTTGATAGGTTCACTAAGATGGCACACTTCATCCCCTCCATAGAACTTTCATCTGCCACCAAGAGCGCCTCCTTGTTCCTGCAAAACATGTTTTGTCTAGATGAATTGCCCCAAACCATCATCACTGACTGAGGTTCTCAATTCACCTCTCGTTTCTAGTCCCACTTCTAATGCCACCTAAAAATTCAACGATATTTATCTTCAGCCTATCATCCTCAGACCAACTGTCAAACAAAACGTACTTACCAAACTCTAGAGCAATACCTCCGCTGCTTCACCATGCATCTTCAGGATGATTGGTTTTCTCTGCCTCCCACAGCAGAATTCACCTACAACAACCATATGCATCACTCCATCAAGGTTACACATTTTTATTCCAACTATGGTTTCCATCCATGCGCCTTTCCTGAGTTCCTTGTCCTAATACAATGTAAGCTGTAGTCTCATGCTCGGGTCCGGCATGTTGCTGACAGAGTGGATGGATTATTGGGAGGGGCTGGGGATGACCCAGTGGTCATGGTCCATGTTGGTACCAATGACAAGGTGAGAGGAAGATGGAATGTTCTAAAGAATGATTTCAGGGAATTAGGTAGCAAACGTAAGAAAAGGACAGCCAATGTGATATTCTCTAAGATATTACTTGTGCCACGCGCTACAGTGGAAAGGCAGTGGGAGATTAGAAAGGTAAATGCGTGGCTAAAGTCTTGGTTCAGGAAGGAGAGTTTTGGGTTTGTAGAGCACTGGGCCGACTGGGAACACCTTTATAGCAGTGTTGGGTTGCACCTAAACGGGAGTAGTGCTGGGGGATAGGATGACTAGAAGGTTGGAGGAGATTTTAAAATAGTAGTAAGGGGAGGGTCATAGCAATCTACCAAATGGAGATAGGACAGAAAGGAGATGGGCTTTAGCTCAGTATAAGGGGGGTGGAGACGGGAGGAGGGCAAGCTCAGAACAGAGAAGGTATGCAATGTTGATAATTCACAAAAAGTACAAGTGACTTATTATATTAAATGTATGCTCACTAATGCAAGGAGCCTAAATAACAGAATGGGGGAACTAGAGGCAATACATACACTAAACAATATGACAAAATAGGCATGTTACAGAGATCCCCGCTGCCTATTATGAGACCCTCACTGTTGTCTTTACACTGGATACTTTTATATTATTGCTACTTTTGCTACTACATGGATACTTTTCTATTACAGTTTATATGAACAAGCTTTGCCAGCTATTCGTATGCACGAATAGCCGACCACCCGGCCCTTGGCGTCAGGGCCAGACTGGCCTACCAGGATACCAGGAAATTTCCCGGTGGGCCATCAGCACCTGGGGCTGGGCAAACAGCTGGGTGTGCTGGGGGACTTGTGCTGGCGGCCGCTGGGGGAGCTGCGCTGTCTCTGCTCCCAGCATGCAGCTTAATGAGACCGCGGCTGGAATATGACATCATATTCCGGCTGAGGTCTCATTCAGCAGCGTGTGAGGGCGGGAGAGCAGAGCCAGCACAGCTCCCCCAGTGGCCGCCAGGCTCCAGCACAAGTCCCCCAGCGGCCACCAGCACAGACAGCCATCTGCACTGAACGACCCCCTGGCAGGTAGTAGTAATGTGTGTCAGTGTTAGTTTGTCTGTCTGTTATGGTGTGTCTGTCTGTTATGTTCTGTCTGTCTGTGTCATGGTGTGTGTCTGTATGTGTCATGGTGTGTGTGTGTCTGTCTGTCTGTCTGTGTCATGGTGTGTGTCTTTCTGTTATGATGTGCCTGTCTGTCTGTGTCATGGTGTGTGTGTCTGTCTGTCTGTGTCATGGTGTCTGTCTGTACAGTGTGTGTGTGTGTCTGTCTGTCACGGTGTGTGTATCTGTCTGTCTGTGTCATGTGTGTGTGTGTGTCTGTCTGTCTGTGTCATGGTGTCTATCTGTGTTATGGTGTGCGTGTGTGTATATGTCTGTCTGTCATGATGTGTGTGTCTGTCTGTGTCATGGTGTGTGTCTGTTTGTGTCATGGTGTGTGTCTGTCTGTCTGTGTCACAGTGTGTGTCTGTCTGTTATAATGTGTCTGTCTGTGTCATGGTGTTTGTGTGTGTGTCTGTTTGTCTGTGTCATGGTGTCTGTCTGTATGGTGTGTGTGTGTCTGTCTGTCATGGTGTGTGTGTCTGTCTGTATGTGTCATGGTGTCTGTCTGTGTCATGGTGTGTGTGTCTGTCTGTCTGTGTCGTGGTGTCTGTCTGTCATGGTGTGTGTGTCTGTCTGTCTGTCTTTCTGTCTGTCATGGTGTGTGTGTGTCTGTCTGTCATGGTGTGTGTGTCTGTCCGTCATGGTGTGTGTGTGTGTCTGTCTGTGTCAAGGTGTGTGTGTGTCATGGTATATGTGTGTGTGTCAGGGAGTGTGTGTCTGTCTGTGTCATGGTGTGTGTGGGGGTCTGTCTGTGGCATGGTGTGTGTGTCATGGTATATGTGTGTGTGTCATGGTGTGTGTGTCTGTCTGTGTCATGGTGTGGGTCTGTCTGTGTTTCTGTGTCTGTCATGGTGTGTATCTGGCATGGTATATGTGTGTTTCTGTGTCTGTCATGGTGTATATGTTTTTTTTAAAATAGTGTTTTTAAAAATAGTGTTTTTGCTCACCTTTTTTTTCCCTACACAGCATGCTGGTCTCCCCTCGACTGGCCCTGCCTCTAAGGTGGGATCAAGCTTGATGATCTCAGCCAATCCAATGCTTTGCCTTAGGATTGGCTGCAAAACGCTACACCAATCAGCATCTCCTCATAGAGATGCATTGAATCAATGTATCTCTATGGGGAACGTTCAGCACCTCCAGAGTGTGGAGCCCCTGAATGTAGGTGCACTGACACAGGAAGCACCTCTAGTGACCGCCTGAGTGACTGTCACTAGCGGTGCCACTTTGAAGCAATATAAACACTGCCTTTTCTCCAAAAAGTCAGTGTTTACCTTGAAAAGCCTGTAGGGACATGCTGATGAGAGATTAAGGAGGGACAAAGCAGCCTGTTTAAACTGGTCTGGCAGTGTCCCTGGGACAACGCCCTGCTGGAGAGACAATAGACAGGAAAACGGGTGAGGGGAAGAGGCACATTTTCTCATGGAATAAAAGTGGCAGAAAAAGTGTGTTACAATCCAATTTGCCCATATAATGTTTTTAAAGGACCATACACCCCAGGGCCATAGTCATAAGGCAGGAGGCTGGCTCACTACATTAAGCTGTGTGTGTGCATCTGCTATTGAGTGAGCTTGCTTGCATGTGTGTGCCTGCTAGTGAGTGAGCTTGTGTTTTTATGTCAATGAGCTGATGTATATCAGTGAGATTGTTTGTCTATGAGGCTGTGTATCAATAAGCTTGTGTGTGTCATTGAGATGTCAGTGTCTGCATGTGAGCATACTTACTGTATAATTAAACGTTTTACTCTGAAAGGACCAATTTTGTATATTAGAAAAAGCAATATATATATAATATAGATAATATTTTACTCAATCATCTGTCATCTGGGGTGGTAAGACATAGCCTTACATATTACATGTGACAATATATGGCGCAGTGACTTAGGGGGCTCGCATAGATTTATTTCCAGGGCTGCTATGTATCCCCAGTCAGGCCCTGCTTGGCGTGTGCCGCCAATTAACCACGTTCATCTTTCTAACAAATGAAGGAACTGCCGAATGGCCGACCACCCTAAGTGAGGAGTGTGCCGTTAATCAACCTCCCAGGAGCTGCGGTTTGTGGTTAACCACAGCCTAATTGGCTAGCCTCATGGTGGTCACTGTCTGTATACAAATAGTCGAACAGGGTACCGAACCAAACCGATGAAAGATCTGTCGAACGACAACCACCTAGGCACTGACGTGTCTCTAATTAACTTGCATTTTTTGCAGTTAACCGCAGTATAATCACTTACTCCAAGGGGGTCATCGTCCGTTTGTCGAAACATGAGACAGCGGACATTTTTGTACCGTCTAATGCTCTGCAGGACCTAACTATAAAACTCCTGGAACTACAATTGGCTACTGATTTAAACGAATCCCGTGGAGATGCCGGTTATCCAATCCATTCGTACAAAAACTATATGAACAGACTTTACTTTTGTGTCTCTAACACACCATTCGTGAGATCGGAGCACCATTCGTATACTTTGTGCACTCAGATCTGAGCTATCCAGAGAATGGTCAAATGGGATATTTTATTACTAAAATATAAGAGTTATGTATTTTGATGTTATTTTCATGTGGGGAATAAAATGTGGTATTTTCATGTACTTGGAGATAATTAGGTTAGTGTAACTGTTTGGACCAATTATATCCAGGTTAGGGGGGAGTGTTTCAAAAGATGCACTTTATCCTTATTGGTTGGGACATTGCATTGTCCAGTTTACAATCAGGTCCAGAGGGGTTGTCCTCTGGCCTGGTAACTTGTATAAATTGCCATGCATGAGTGCCATTAAAACAGTTTGTTTAACCCTCAACTCGCAGCCTCGACTTGTGTTGCAGGGAAAGGTATATCCTAGCTTTGCTAAAACTAGTGGGATGTTCTACATTTCCATGAATTAATACTGTATGCTCATCGGAGTGGCGCTCTCACTCTCTAAGTTCGGGAACCAGGATATCCAAACGGTCCAACTTCCAGTTAGCCTGGAGGCAACCGTAACAAGGCATAACTGAAACATTGTGGGATGTGACACATGACTGGGCAGTTAACTTAAATGGGTACATGTTATTTAGGAATGATAGGAAAAACAAGAATGCTGGTGGGGTATGTTTGTATGTCAACCATGAGTTAAAGCCAAATCTTAAGCAAGTGGAATGTGATGAGGAAAATGTGGAAGCTTTATGGGTAAATATCTGCTTGGAGCAAAAGAAGGGAAATCAACTATTGGTTGGGATATGTTATAAACCACCTAATGTTAATATTAACGAGGAACAACAGCTGTTTAAGGAAATTGAGAAAGCTGCAAATCTTGGTAACACGTTAATTATTGGAGATTTTATTTACCCAGACATAAATTAGGACTGAGGGACTCGTAGCTCAGCAAAGGGAATTAGGTTTTTGAACTTGCTAAATGACCCCTTTATGCCACAACTTGTACAAGCACCAACTAGAACGAATGTTTGTCTGGACCAGGTTTTAACAAAAAACGTTGATCTTTTGACCAACATTCAAGTAGGTGAGTACTTGGGAAATAGTGATCATAATATAGTGTCCTGTGAAATAAACATATTATTTTAAAAAGGCCAATTTCTTTAAATTAAGGGCAGCTTTACAATATATTGACTGGCATATACTCTTTAGTGAAAAGAACACTGAGCATAAATGGAACATCTTCCAACATATCTTAGAAAGGTACATTTCTCAGTATGTACCATTGGGTAATAAATATAAAAGAAACAGATTGAAACCAATGTAGCTTAGTAGAGAAGTAAAACAAGAGATTAAAAATAAGAAAAGGGCATTTAAAGCATTTAAAATGGACAAATCAGATGCATCCTATAAAAGATATAAGGAAGCCAATAATGCGTGCAAAAAGGTGATTAGGTTCGGTAAACTTCTAACCAACCCCAGAGCATACATTAAGTACATAAATTCTAAAAAAAAATTAAAAAAAATGGAGGAATGTTTGTAAATTGTGTGTTTTTCAGTACCAGGAGATAGTTGAATTTGTACAGTTTATGACTCAATTATCTCGTAGAGTGTATTGCTTGTCTGTTCCTCTTCCTCTTCCCCTCCTTCTTTTTCTTGTTCTATTGTTTCCCCAGCAAGGCATTGTCCCTGGGACATTGCCAGACCAGTTTAAACTAGCTGCTTTGTCCCTCCTCAATCTCCCATCAGCCCTTGCTATTGTCTGACCCCACCCTTCCTTGTACTATAGTGCTCTATATAACTGTTACGGTTGCCACCAGGCTAGCTGAAATTTGGACCATAGATAGGATGCTCCTACCGCTCACCAAAGAACTGCCACTGCTGGGTTGGGGATCTGCCATCTGCTATTCACCCTGGACCTACGACCAGGCTCCTTATTCCAGTGGGTGCTCTCTCTTCCTTCTGTAGAGCGGAGCAGGATCAGGAACAAGAGCTCTTACAAGCGCTCAGTAGCTAAGGGAGTATGAAGAGTATAGCAGTACCTGTAGTGATTATAGCTGTCCCCTCCAAACACGAGTCAAAGCTGCGAGTTGAGGTTCAAGAAGATCTATTTAATGAGCACCAATGGACTTTCTTTTATGCAGGTTTTCCCACAAAGTTACCACCCACGCGCACCTTGTGGTACACAGGACATGCAGTTACAATAGCCAATCAAAACATTACAGCACAGTCAGACACTCCCAGCCAAGGCACACTAACCCTCCCCTCTGCCTGTGATATAATTACCTCAACACAATGGGCTAACTTAATTATCATAGGCAAGAAAATACACAGTTTTATACAATATTTATAACTTCCAAACCATACATGCAATTCCCATAAAAGTCACATATTCAGAACCAGCATAATCAGTATACAAACATATGTAAAAATCATACAAATCCGCCCAGTGGTTCAAACGTTATGTGGAAGTCCTATTTGACCGACTGCAAGTATGGCTTTCCTGCCAAAAACAGTTCCACAGATTTAGGAGATAATTGGCTTAAGTGGGTGTGGTAACTTAATTATCTCCAGAATATCTCCATTTACAACAACAGTAAAAATACATAAAAATACGTAATCCCTATTATACTGAACAGAACCACCACATAGCTTGGGTCTGAGTGCTTAATATATCCGAACAGTGCTCAGATCACACAAACAAAATAAAATCGCCATGGGGTTAAAGTTTAGCAAGGGCTGATGAGAGATTTATGAAGGACAAAGCAGCTTGTTTAAACTGGTCTGGCAGTGTCCCTGGGACAACGCCCTGCTGGAGAAACAATAGACAGGAAAACGGGGGAGGGGAAGAGGCACATTTTCTCATGGAATTAAAGTGTCAGAAAAAGTGTGTTACAATCCAATATGCCCAAATAATGTTTTTAAAGGGCCATACACCCCAGGGTCTAGTCATTAGGCAGGAGGCTGGCAATAAGTAACCTATTGTCACAGTAACCTATTGTATGTAAATGAGGCTGTTGGTAGTTTAAATGTATGTATAAATTGTAAGTGCTTGCTTGCATTAAACAGACTTACTTCACCCTCAATCTAGAGTCTTGTCTCTTATTGGGGGAAACTGTTATATCACTACAAGGGATTGTTATAATCACTATACTCCCTTGGATTTCCTGAGCTCTTGTAAGAGCTATTCCTGCTTGACTCTCTGGAGGGAGAGAGGTTCACCCACTGTAACCTGGAGCCTTGTCATAGGACACACCTACAGTTTCCTATTAATCCTATCAATTAGTGACATGCAGAGAATTTGGCCCTTTAAAAAGTAAGGACAAAGGAAAGAGAGGGACATTCAAAGACTCAGACATTCAAACACTCAGCTCTCTGGGACACACATACTCTTTAAATCAAATTCCAAACAGTTGGTGTAACGGCACCCCGGGCATAAAAGGGGTTAAACGCCATTTAGAGGATATCCCTTTTCCAGATGTACAGGCAGCTACCAAAGACACCAATCCGCCAAACAGGAAACCATACGAATGCTGTAAACAGCCAAACAGGAAAAACCATACGAAAGGTTTACACTCCTAGCAGTCGAACTGGAACAGCATACAATAAATCCCCCCCAAGAACAAGACAAAGCTCCATGTTGAGGGTCAATCAGTGAATAAACATTAGTACCACCCACACTCCCACACAAAATCCTCCTCTCTGCCTGTGATACAATTATCTTACACAATGGGTTAATGTAATTATCACAGGCAGAGAAATACATTTTCAGAATCAGCATACTCCAAATACAAAATCATCCAAATTGGTCCATTGGTTCAAAAGATAGATCGAAGTCCTTTGTGGAAAAGCATGGCTTTTCTGTCCAAAACCAGTTCCACAGAATCTTCTATCCTGGAGATAATTGGGAAGTAATCCAATTATCTCCAAGGACAGAGGAAAAACTCCATTAAACACATGGCAGTAAAAAGACCGTAAAATACAATAAAATACATAAAAATATATAACTGTGCAGCCATTGCATAAAACAGGTACATTCAACATATCCCCAGATAGCTCAGATCTGAGCGCACATTATTACTGAATGGTGCTCAGATCACACACATACAGTTCAATTGCCATGGAGCCAAAGTCTTTCCCATAGTCTTTCATTAACGAATGGGCTCCATGGCAAAGCTATCTGGGGTATCACTGCTCAAACAGGGCAAGCACCTAATGACCCAGCTTTCGTGTCTTTGCAGGGGAAAATCAAGCCTTTCAACATGGGGCCATAGTCTAAAGACAGCAGGCGGGCAACCAGGCTCCTGCAATGCACAGTGGCGAGATTGGAATATAGTTAAAGAAAAACACTCTCCTGGACACCTAATTTCACTATTATTATTTTTTTTGCAGCTAACACCATTTTTATCTATCCCATACAATTCTCTATTCATTATACTTGCATTCAAATTCGTGGGACAGATCTACACATCTGATAAGAAAATCTACAACCTAACTGGTAATTATGCAGGTCTTATTCCATTAAATTAAATTAATTAAAGTTTTAATAATAGCAAGGATATATATCTGGATAAATCTTGGTCTATCATTAGAAATCTTAGCTAAGGAATATATGGTTATAAAAATTCCATTCCTGCAGGTGGAATAAATATAACAATATATTAACAGTAAAATGTGCTGCGTGTTAGCATACCATTATTTTTATCCAGGTATATTGACTTGTTCTGAAATAAGATAGTGTATCTTATTTAGAAAAGTAAAAATTCAGCAAATGTAAAATCTGTTAGAATTATTCTTATTGGATGGTTCTAGGAATGGTAAATGATCTGGTATGAACAGTACTTTAATTGTAAAGTTACCACATAATAGTATATATTGCCTATGAGGATTGTAGCCAGCAGTGAAAGGGTAAATTCAGTGTGATCTGACTGCTAGCCGAAGTTTTTATTGCTTTAGGCTGTGCTGTAGTTCTGTGGAGTTTTGCTTTCTGTCTGTGAAGTTGGTTTCTAAACAGTACACTATCATAAATCATTAAATTGTTGACGGGTTGCTTTTAGATGCTGTATTGTGTTTAAACCATTGCCGTATTGTATGCCTATGTTATACCTAAATATTTGCTGTTTGTCACGCATGTTACATATTATTATTATTTTTATTTTTATTATTATTGTCACAATAATTTATATTTTTATAATTAAATTGTGATTTACTGTGTGAAGTAAAAATCCTCTAATGAGCTTCCTCTGGGATCTAAGAGAATTAAAAATCATGAGTAATTCTCAGCTTTATATTATCATTATTCGGGGATACAGTGCCAAGATATAAATTTTGATATAATAAAAATTATTGCATTATTTTTTATGAAAATATTATTTTAATATTTATCACCCCATAAGTATCCTCATAATTTGGAGGCACTGCTGAGATCATTAGTTGAAATTATATTTCACACAGTAATTCGGAGGCATTGCTATTTGTGTAATTCATGCAATATTAATATTGATATAGAAAAGAGTTTTGTATTGAGATTAAATCAGTGTATAAAAATATGGCCAGTGATCCATGTGTATCAGACAATGTCAAAATAATTGAAGATCTGAGAATTCATGCTCTAGTCAGTATTTATAAATATATGAAGAATGATCTAAGCTATGATGATTGGTTGAATAACATAGAACTAATAAGCTAATATTTCCATTCTAAATTATTCACCCATAATAGAACATCTTACATTAATTGATGGACAAACCAACATAGAGAAAAAAATAGGGTACATAATACACTCTTGGACTTTCTTCATAGGGTACTGTGTATCAGATTGAACACATACAGTAATGCTCTGGGCATTCAAAAGGGAAATTCCAAGATTTACTTGTTGAGCATGAAACCCATCAGGCTGATCATGAACTGATAGCTATGATGGATAAATATGCACAGGAAATAAATCAGCTTTAAAAGCAATTGGAAGAATACGAAAAGGAGAGTAAAAATCAGACAGTGAGATTAGTAGTCATCATTATGTGCCAAGAAGTTGCACAAAAATGCAAGAAAGGGCTACCTGTAAATCCCATCCTTATTACAATTTTCCCACACCAAACCAGACAGGTTTTTCCTAATTCAGGATTCCCCATCTCATGACATTGCCAAAATCTTTCAATCTTGGGCAGAACATTTTGAAAAGACTGTCTTGCCCAAGCTTGAAAGAAGGAATCAGGTTCAGGGTGATAGGAGTGAAAACCGACATGGTTTTGTACACTGGCAGAACTCTGATGCTGATCAGAATTGTGACAGTAAATGAGAAGCTCAGAATGATGAGAGTGAAAGCGATGTGACTGCTATGCCATCTGCGCTGTTATACAGATCTAATTCCTCTTCAGCAGCCAGATCACATAGACGTTTACTTAAAAGCAAGGAAACTAGAAACGGTCGTACATCAACTATGCCTGTCTATGAAACACCTAAGGTTATTAAATTCCTCAAAGAGACAGTCCCACAATTTTCTAGAAGTTCAGGAAACATATCCGAACATCTGGAAAATTATGAAAGAGCCATGAATTCATTGGTCATGTATGATGACATCCACAAGAAATGGTATATTACATGGACCTTTGATTCAGTATGCCGTATTCATCTGGAGAGTCTTCAAGCTATACAGCTAATGTCCTGTCAGTGCATGAAATTGTATACCATACACCATGCACATGACAAAAATCATCAAAAGGTTACGAAACCTGGTGATAAAATGATGTCACAGACTCAAATTCAGTTAGGTTTAGAATCCCAACAAAAAAAGAGGACCTATTCTGAGGTTTTGAAAACTCCAAAACCTCAGAAACAGGAAAAAGTCATAAGCAATCTTGTTAATTCCTTTGATAATAACTCTGAAAAGTCCAATGCCAATGGAAATAAACGCCCCTGGTTCAATAAGAACCAAGGCAGTTCCCAATGGAGAAGGAATCCTTAGGCAACCAGGAGATAGGGAAACAGAAACAACCAATCTGCTTCTAATAACTCCCAACAGTCTCAGCCATCCCAGCCTAATTCTAATGGGCAAGGACAAAACGGCAATGGTGGAAATAATTTACGTTGTCAGGTTGGTCAATTGATCGACCAGATGGTCAAATTAATGGAGAAAATGACAAAGATTAACCAAGTCTTTGCCAAAAATCCTTTTTTAGGGACAGCCCCAATTGCAGAGCCAACAACAGGTGCCGTAGCAATACTAGGCACTATGACTAAACAGGCTGGTTTATCAGTAGATGTAATGCCTAACCCTGTTTCCTTTCCAGATCCTCACAATCAGACAAACAATAGTTGTGTTAGGAAACCTACTGCCTACCCCGTCACTTCACTTCCGGGTGAAGGAGGCACAAGATGTCCCTCTGCTTTTTCATTTCAGCCAAAGGCTAAAATATCCCTAGCAGCCTCTAGTTTCCAGGATTCAGACCTAAAAGGGTTAACTGATGAGATGCCGACAACTAGTTCCCGCTTGATAGTTCAAGATATTCCTAAGGAGGATGAACCAGTGGGTAAGACTGAGCATTCCTCAATACTGGTAGAAACTACTGCTGTGACAGGTAATGTATGGAAAACAAGTCATATGTTGACACATTCTAAATTCCTATGTGAATTAGAAGAGCACGAAGGAAGGTACTACATGTCTGTAGAAATACAGGATTCGCTACCACAGCATTTCAAAGGGTTAATATATACTGGTTCACAAGCTACTATCTTATCCAATACCTACTTCCAGCAGGTAATGGACTTAGCAATGGATAAGTCATCACTAGTATAATTCCCCAATGATCTGTTGAGTGTAGGAGGAAATGCCCTTCATGTTATTGGCAGTGCCTGGTTAAAGTTTAAAATAGGTAACAAAACCTTTAGATACCCGGTAATAGTGGTAGATCTCCCCTATAACCGACTGATTCTGGGTATAGACATACTCAGAAGACTTAACACAATTATTGATTGTGTGAATGTAATTGTATGGTCACAAGCTAAGGTTCCCATAACCTATGAGAAATCACATGTTCAATCTGAACGCAACTGCCATGTGATAGATGAAAGATTTGATGCTATTGAGGTACATTTTAGAAATAGTCAGTCACCTTACGTGACTATCCTGCAGGTAAATGACGCAATTGCACCTGTAGATGAACATTCCGTAAGAGTTGTTCCAGAGAGGATCCATAATATCTCTCTGGAAGGTGATGTTTTAACCATTTCTCTCCACAGGGACTATGTTGAATCTGGTGATCTGGCAGGTCATGCTCAATTCATTGTCAGAATTGAAAGGGTTAATAACAACTTATTCTTTCCTATTCAAATAAATGACTTAGGAAGAAGTAGGAATGCAAAGCTGGACTTAAAGAGTGAGAACAGCTATATTAGCAGAAGTCTTTTAAGGCAGATCGCTAATCCTAAAATGGTCAGGTACGCTTCCCCACATAATAAATGGAAATAGGTACTAGCACTTATTCCAAATCACATAGGATTGTTTACAGAGACAATAGTGAATTATTATTAAAAAAACATAGAAACATAGAATGTGACGGCAGATAAGAACCATTCGGCCCATCTAGTCTGCCCAATTTTCTAAAGACTTTCATTAGTCCCTAGTCTTATCTTATAGTTAGGATAGCCTTATGCCTATCCCACGCATGCTTAAACTCCTTTACTGTGTTAACCTCTACCACTTCAGCTGGAAGGCTATTCCATGCATCCACTACCCTCTCAGTAAAGTAATACTTCCTGATATTATTTTTAAACCTTTGTCCCTCTAATTTAAGACTATGTCCTCTTGTTGTGGTAGTTTTTCTTCTTTTAAATATAGTCTCCTCCTTTACTGTGTTGATTCCCTTTATATATTTAAATGTTTCTATCATATCCCCCCTGTCTCGTCTTTCCTCCAAGCTATACATGTTAAGATCCTTTAACCTTTCCTGGTAAGTTTTATCCCGCAATCCATGAACCAGTTTAGTAGCCCTTCTCTGAACCCTCTCTAAGGTATCAATATCCTTCTGAAGATACGGTCTCCAGTACTGTGTACAATACTCCAAGTGAGGTCTCACCAGTGTTCTGTACAATGGCATGAGCACTTCCCTCTTTCTGCTGCTAATACCTCTCCCTATACAACCAAGCATTTTGCTAGCATTTCCTGCTGCTCTATTACATTGTCTGCCTACCTTTAAGTCCTCAGAAATAATCACCCCTAAATCCCTTTCCTCATATGTTGAGGTTAGGACTCTATCAAATATTCTGTACTCTGCCCTTGGGTTTTTACGTCCAAGATGCATTATCTTGCACTTATCCACATTAAATGTCAGTTGCCACAATTCTGACCATTTTTCTAGTTTACCTAAATCATTTGTCCATTTGGCTTATCCCTCCTGGAACATCAACCCTGTTACATATCTTAGTATCATCAGCAAAAAGACATACCTTACCATCAAGACCTTCTGCAATATCACTAATACAAATATTAAAGAGAATGGGTCCAAGTACAGATCCCTGAGGTACCCCACTGGTGACAAGTCCAAGCTTCGAATATATTCCATTAACTACAACCCTCTGTTGCCTGTCACTCAGCCACTGCCTTACCCATTCAACAATATTTGAATTGAAACTTAAAGATTGCAGTTTATTGATAAGCCTTCTATGTGCAACAGTGTCAAAAGCCTTACTGAAATCTAGGTAAGCAATGTCTACTGCACCACCCTGATCTATTATTTTAGTTACCCAATCAAAAAAATCAATAAGATTAGTTTGGCATGATCTCCAGCTTGCCAGGAAAAGGACATCTCCAACGGCTGATACCCTCTTATAACCTGGGTAGCCATTACAAGTGCTATACTGTTGTGGCTTTATTTCTTACCAACCCTAGGAAGGACCACCTAATCAGTGTTAAAGGGGGGGGGGGGTCGCCCATATGGACTCACAACCATCCACACCGGAGCAGGGTTTATAGCTCCACACTTGTGAGTGTTCTGTATCTCTTTATAAGTTATATCTAATATATATATATATATATATATATATATATATATATACGATTTACACTATGTACATTGTTTCTTTTGTACCTTAAGAATTTGTATACCAGTGAAATTTACGACTTCCGAATTGACACATCTCTGTTACATCAGGTTATACGAGGTAAATTGTTAACTTTTACATAAGCGCCTCACCATTTGTATTTTGTATGCTTCCCCACATGACAGGTGGATCCAGAACATGGATGGCAAATCAGAGAGTCACCATGTGATAGCAAAATTTTTACTATCCATTTCCATAGGAAATAAGATGGTAAACATTTATTCCTAGTAATAGACGAACCTCGCTATCAGGTTTACATTGGCAATGACGTTATACATCGCTTTGCCATACACCTTGACCTGATCAATTCCAACTTGTGGACAAGGTTAAAAGGTAATCCTTGTGGATACCAACACGAGGAAAATACCCTGAAATCAGGACAAGTACTACCGGTAAGTATCCAAGTACCTGATGACATAACCATTCCACAAGGGACAAGTAACTTTCTTTTACCCCTACAGGTCAAGAAGGGTCAGAGATTGAAAAACTCTGATGCCCTAATCTGTTTATCCAATAGGATACAACAATTAGGATTCGTGATAACACATACACCAATGGTAAGTATTGGTAAGAATCCAACCTATGTAATAGTCAACAATGTTACACCCAATTATTATTATTATTATTATTTTATTATTTATATAGCGCCAACAAATTCCGTAGTGCTGTACAATAGGTGGACTAACAGACTCATAATTGAGATTAGACCACTGACGTACAGGAACAGAGGGGGTTGAGGACCCTGCTCGATGAGCTTACATGCTAGAGGGAGTGGGGTATAGTGACACAAAGGGTTAAAGTAGGGGAATTAAATAGTTTGTTACAGAAGGGTTTATTGAGTGCTTGGTAGGTCATTTTTGACAGGTGCAGGAACGGAGTCATGGGGTGGGGGATGAGAAACCTGCTGACAGTTTAATTGATACGCTTTAATGAAGAAGTGAGTTTTCAAAGATTTTTTGAAGGAATGGAGGCTGGGTGAAAGTCTGATTGAGGAGGGAAGGGAGTTCCACAGAATAGGTGCAGCCCTGGAGAAGTCTTGAAGGCGAGCATCAGAGGTTGAGCATCAATTGTGTTACTTTACCAAAAGGAACATCATTAGGTCTAGCATTGGATGCTAAGTACTATATATTTGGTTTCCAAAACCAAATTATAGGCCTCATACCTGAAGAATACTTAACTGAGGATCAAATTGTTGATAAAATATTGCATTCCTCACCAGAAGGATTATTCACTACCCTATCTGTATATCACTTTAACGTCGAAAAAGGCTGGTGTAAAATCGAAGAGGCCTCAATCACCTTCGATCATACCGTCAATGAGGAGGAATCACGAGATTATCACGACCAAAGAGAAAAGGTATGTCAACACCGAACTGACCTAACTTCTAGGCTTGAAGAAGCTTATGAGATAGGTCAGCCTGAAATCTTTCCAGGATTTAAGGAAAGGCTTGAAGAACTAATATCTTTAGCTGAGCTGAGCGGCAACAGCTAAGGGAAATCCTTATGGAATTCCAAGATATTTTTGCCAAAGATTCCTATGACTGTGGGTTAACTAACCTCCACATAGCCAGAATAAAAACTGATCCAAATTTACCACCTGTATTTATCAAACAATATAGACTTCCATTGGCTTCATATGATGGAAAGCGGAATTGTACATCCAGTGCACAGTTCGTATAATAATCCAATCCTTGGAATTCTGAAACCTAATGGACAACAGCGTTTATGCGCTGACTTACGACAGATAAACATGTCTATATGTCTGGTTGGCCAGTGCCATACATAGACCAATGTTTGGTATAAATGCAGGGATCCAAAATATTCACTGCCATTGATTGTGCGCAGGGATATTGGACTGTACCAGTCCATGATGAAGACCAATACAAATTGGCCTTTACATTTGGAAAACAGCAGTATACCTGGACCCGTATGCCTTTCGGTTACATAAACTCTGGTCATGAATTCACTGTGTTCATGCATTAAGCTATGCCTGATGCACTCAAGAGAGGAACGTTATCATATGTCGACGATGTCTTGCTGAAAAGCACTTCCTTTGATAAGCATATCCTAGAGATTAGACATGTTCTCACTCAGTTAAGAGAGGCAGGGATTAAACTGTCTTTACAAAAGGCACAATGGTGTGGCACCAATGTAAATTTCCTTAGGCATGAGGTAACTTCTAAAGGGTTAAATCCACAGAAGAAGAAGGTTGAAGCTGTACTAAAGGCAAAAACACCTACTAACATCAGGGAATTAAGATCATTCCTTGGTATGACTAACTACTCCTGTAAGTTTATAGATAACTATGCAGAAATAACAAAACCACTCTTACACCTGCTTAAAAAGGAAACTACCTGGAACTGGGGGGAGCCTCAGGACCAAGCGGTAAGTGAACTGAGGAAGAAGCTCACTCAGGCACCCTATTTAGCATACCCAGAGACGGATAAACCTTTCTACCTGGAGACAGGATATACCGATTTAAGCATAAGTGATGTTCTGTATCAGAAGCAGGACAGCCTAAACAAAGTAATTGCATATGCTAGCAAGACTTTGTCACCTGTTGAAGTTAAATTTAACACGTGTGAGAAGGCGTTATTGCCGACTGTTTAGGCACTGCAAAGTTTTTGTAGCTATATCCAAGGTGAGAAAATAATTGTAGAAACTGCCCACGAACAGTATCTGCAGAGTGAAAGAATCACAGACGGTAACCTCTCTAACAGTCGGATTACTGCATGCACTCTATCCTTACAAGGATGGCCGTTAGAAGTCCGTTATAAACATAATAAGAGAAGGCCAGTTGCCCAAGGATTAGCAGAATTACATGACTGTACTGCTCCATCTCTGGATGATAATGACACCGGAGATGACTTCCTAGAAGAGCAATGGCTATCCCCTTATAAAGTTTATGATGAGGAATACTGTCAACCACTACCGTGGGTATACATTAATGGTTGTTCATATCACCATACTGTTATTAATGAACGGAAGTTAGTTGCAGGTATCGGAATCGCCTGGACAGGTGATTATCCCAATATATCTATAGGATACAATATTGGTCCCAAATGCAGTCAGATAGCCAAACTCTGTGTATATAAGACCATTCAAATGGCAATAGAATAGGGTATCAAATAATTCATTATCATAACTAATTCCAACTATGTTCGCAACAATTTTGTCGAATATCTGCCTAGCTGGAAACGTAACCAAATGCTGAAAAGCAATAAAAAACCTGTTAAACATGGGAATTTGTTTTGTAAAATTTATGAATTGGTTAAGGAAAATGGTTTGACTATATCTTTGAAGAAAACCAAGGGCCATTCTAAAATACAGGGTATTGACAAGGAAGGTAACGACTTAGCCGATTCACTGGCAAAACAAGCAACCATCAATGGTGAAACCCTAAACATTGACCATCTTATGCCTTCAATTCATGTTAAAGTCATAACTAGAGGATAATGCTGACTTAACCCCTTAAGGACACATGACATGTGTGACATATCATGATTCCCTTTTATTCCAGAAGTTTGGTCCTTAAGGGGTTAAATGTCGTGCATTGGAGTCAAGAAGCTTCTAGTAAGGACCTGATCACTAGTCAAAAGAACGATCCTGTTTTAGGCATATTCTATAAACATATAGAAGACCCTACTGCCAATCCCATCACAGATGAGGATTGCAAAAATAATGAAGATTTACGAATCTTGATAAGATATAAAGTCCAATTTAGTATCATGGATGGGTTACTTGTTAGAACTTCTAAACATGGCATACAACAATGGGTAGTCCCAACTGTATACCGAGGGTTAATGCTACAACACGCACATGATGCACCTACATCTGGGCATCATGGTGATAAGATCACATATGAGATATTGCGTGATTATGCATATTGGCCACACATGTTAAGAGATGTAAAGACATACTGTCAGGGATGCTTGATTTGTCCGCAATATCAACCCCATGATCCAACCCATCGTGCACCACTTCAGAAGAGGAGGATGTCGTTACCCTGGTCTGATATTCAAATTGACTTTATAGGTCCTGTAACAGGATATTCAAGAGGTAACAAATACATGTTAACCGTTACATGTATGTACACAAAGTGTATCGAATGTTTGCCTTGCAAAGAGAACACGAGTTCCATGTGCGCCTCTTTGTTGATTAAACATTAACAAGTTGCGTGCTTGTCATCCTAAATCTCAATTAAGGATTATAGGTGTGGAGTCAGATGCAGAAGAGTGAATGACTAACCTGGATGAATGCTTGATTCACGTGGTATCGTATCATGTGAAATGTTGTGATGTGCCATGATCTCATGTACGTTCATGTCATTAACCATTTCCTTGCCATCCAATAACTACATTTTCTAAGCAGGTTACTAGCTTGTTTAGCTGCTATGAGGGTTCAGTAACAAATGTAGTGAGGGATGAATTTATAAAAATATAACTAGACAGAATACATAACGTTGATGAATCGTAAATAATGTGTTATCCTAGGCCAAGTGATGTCACACTGTTATAAGTTTGAATGCTTAACAACCCTTGAATCATTAGTAGATAAGTCTGAGACAAGTTCCTGATCCGTGACTGTCAAAAGATGTCTAAGAAGGATGTGGCGTGTTTCTGGATCATACTGCTCCTGTGCCAAGAGCTACGGACTGAGCCGATCGCAGAGATGGGACCATCCTCCGGCATCCTGATTCAGGAGACACCAGGGTTCATCTTGACAGAGAAGAGGATCCTGACCCAAAGTGTGTTCGTCAGCTTGGACCACAAGATTTCCATCGAGAAGGCGTACAACATTTCATTGATGAGCTTCCTGAGTTACAAACTTGGTACCAGATGCACCTCCAAAGTGCACAGGACCATGTGTGAAACATCTTGGAGCAAGCTCAGAAACCTTTTGTATCAAGTACTATTCCGATGAGCAACCGACCCAAAAGGTTCCTCACCGCTATAATTGTTGCATGAGTTCTGGCCTTTGAGATGGTGAGTGCTCTACCTCTCTTGATTGATGTAGAATGCATGGAGATTTGCTTTTTATTGGCCATCCCCTATGTAACTCACAAAAACCTTTTTTCAAATGAAAACAATTTACAATGTCGCTACAAGGAAGGAAGATATCCACGTATAAGTCCAAACCCCAAATGTTTTGCTTTTCAACCCTGGGTACCAGATTGGTATTCAATACCCATTTTGAATGACTGCGAGAAATTCAAAGACAATAATTTCCAATGTGATGGAAAACCTTTCGTGTACGATTCTATCAATGCTTTGTGTGGGATCGAGTATATTAAACATGGCTCCGATACATGTCAAGTGACTATGTCAAAAACTGACGATAATGCGTTAGTACATGCTATCTTAGTAAAAGATATATGGTTGGTTAGCACGTGTCATAAAAACATGAGTGTTTTTCGCGGGGACCAGGTGACTAATAAAGTAATTGCATTACCAGCACCTGTCTCACTGATCAAGTTACCCACAACTCTCGTATAGTTACGCTATATCCGGTGTACACTGACGTCATTGAAAGTGCTATTGAGATGGTGGATTCCTTCCAGAATCTAGATCATAATCTAAATTTCTTGCTAGACCATAAGCCCAACCACACTATCTACATGTCAATCAGAAAAGATAACATTTCTGTGGACACATTCAAGTACCCTGAGCTCAGTGGCGGATCCAGAACCTGATCTCGGGAGGGGCACTTGTAGATTATTTAAAGAAATAATCCAGACACAATAACCACTACAGCTTAGTGTAGTGGTTATGGTGTCAATAGTACCGGGACCCCCTCCCAGAGTAAGTAGTCAAACCGTTTAAGAACAGGTCTGCTGGGAAATGGGGCAGTAGTAGGGCATAGGAGCAGTGGTGTGTGTGAGTGGTGTAATGTGTAAGGGGTGCAGTGTGTGTGTGTGTGTGTGTGTGAGGGGGACAGTGTGTGAGCAGTGTGTGTGTGTGAAGGTTGTAGTGTGTGTGAGGGCGGCAGTGTATGTCATGGATGCAGTGGGACAGTATGTGTGTATAACAGTGGCAGTGTGTGTGAGAGTTGCAGTGTATGTGTGAGTGTGGGAAATGTGTGTGTATGGGGCGGCAGTGTGTGTATGGGGGCAGTGTGTGTATCGGGTAGTGTATGTGTGTAGAGTGTGTGTGTATGGGGAGCAGTGTGTGTGTATCAGGTAGTGTATGTGTGTAGAGTGTGTTTGTATGGGGGAAGGGCAGTGTATGTGTATGGGGGCAGTATGTGTGTATGGGGGGCAGTATGTGTGTATGGGGGGGCAGTATATGTGTATGGGGGGCAGTATGTGTGTGTACACTGTGTGTGTGTATGGGGGAGCAGTGTATGTGTGTGTGTGATAAGGGAAGGGGGGCTTTTTTACAATATATATATATATATATGTAACAACACCCCCAGGCATAAAAGGGTTAGACCGCCGTTTAGAAGATCTTCCCTTCCAGAGACACAGGCACAGCTACTGCAGAACACCAGTCCGCCGAACAGGAAACCATATGAATGCCGTAAGCAGCCGAATAGGAAAAACCATCAAAATAGGTTTACACTCCTAGCAGTCGAACTGGAACAGCATACAATAAATCCCCCCAAGAACGAGACAAAGCTCCGTGTTGAGGGTCAAGCAGTGAACAGTCAGAGCTGTGGGTTTATTGTGCTTATGTACACATTCTTACACATTAGTATCACCCACAGGGTTTTGGAACACAACCAATAAACACATACAATACACTCAGACACTCCCACACAACATCCTCCCCTCTGCCTGTGATACAATTACCTTACACAATGGGTAATGTAATTATAACAAGCAGAGAAATAAAAATTTTCACATTATTCATAACTTGAAAAGTATGCATCACATTCACATAAAATTTTCATACATTTTCAGAATCAGCATACTCCAAATACAAACATATGTCAAAATCATCCAAATTGGTCCAGTGGTTCAAAAGATAGATCATAGTCCTTTGTGACCAAAGGAAGCATGGCTTTTCTGCCCAAAACCAGTTCCACAGAGTCTTCTATCCTGGAGATAATTGAGAAGTAATCCAATTATCTCCAAGGACAGAGGCAAAACTCCATTGAACACATGGCAGCAAAAGACAATAAAACACATAAAAACATATAACTGTGGAGCCAGTGCACAAAACAGGTACATATCCCCAGATAGCTCAGATCTGAGCACACATTATTACTGAATGGCGCTCAGAGCACACACATACAGTTCAATTGCCATGGAGCCAAAGTCTTTCCCATAGTCTTTCATTATACGAATGGGTTCCATGGCATAGCTATCTGGGGTATCACTGCTCAAACAGGGCAAGCACCAAATGACCCGGCTTTCTTGTCTTTGCAGGGGAAAATCAAGCCTTTTACCATGGGGCCATAATCCAAAGGCAACAGGCGAGCAACCAGGCTTCTCCAGTGCAATGTGGCGAGATTGGTCTCGTCACAATATATATATATATATATATACATTTTTTATTTATTTAAAATATATATTTATGTCCCCCCTCCCTTCTTACCTTTACTGGGGGGAGGGGGGGCATTTCCCTGGTGGTTCAGTGGGGGATTCATTGGTGGCCCAGTGGTTCCAGTGAACTCTAGCCCGCGCTCCAGGGCTAGAGTTCACTCTCGCGAGATTTGGAGCGTTGCCGTGGTAACCACAGCAACTCTCCAAATCTCACAAGAGGAGGACCCGGAGGAGCTGCAGCCTGAGCTCCCGGGTCCTCTCTCTCACTCCCTCCTTCCCTCCCTCCCCCGCCGGCTGCCAGCACAGTGCCTGCGGACCGGGGAGGGAGATCTCTGCTCTCCCTTCCCGGTCCACAGGCACATTGCAGGGCTGGCGCCTGCATGTGCTGGCAGGGGAGAGGGAGACCCTCGGTATTCTCGGGGGGGGGGCAATTGCCCCATTGCCCCCCCCTGGATCCGCCACTGCCTGAGCTAGATCCTGACCCTATTGCTCGTGTAGACTGGTTCATCCATGTTAAAATTGTTATTAGGTTTACAATGATAATAATGGTATTATGGTTGATTGTACTAAGTGTAAGGTTCAAAGCTCTTACAGGTACAAAAATATGCAAAAATGTTCATTACTAACTTGCTAACTGGTGAGCAGAGCGTAGGCACAGTCTTGAGCTCTGTGCCTAAATCGACGATAAATCGGCGATAAATCGAGTAAAACACTGAGAAAAAGGTGGAATTGGCCGGAAAAAAATACACCAGACTCCACATTCTAACTTGGGGAAGAGAATGGGCTGAAAAAAAGAAATACCGAGCGGACAAGGGCCCTAACACCAAAGATATCGGCGAGCTGCTGAGAAACTGACAGCAGGCCACGTGGGCCAAAATGGCGCTGGAGGAAGAGATGTCCTCTTACTCGGAGGAGGAGGCCTTCATTGACCCAGGAGAGGGGGCAACCTGCAGCAAACTCACGATGATGGGAAACACGGTCACAGCCAACCTACTTGAAAGCATGCTGGCCAAACTACGCAAAGATGTAGCAGCAGACATGGCCCACTACAAGGGTGCCATCGAAGGGGTTAATGAGAAGATCACTCACCTCGAGGCTTCTGCTGGCAATCAGGATGCCAGGCTGACAGCGATAGAGCAACAAGTAGCTGACATGCAATGCCAGCAATTAAACTTTAAGGAATGGGTGGACGCACTGGGGCATCACTGACACCGTGGGTACCACCTATATACCCCACTTTATCAGACGCATGATAGCGACACTGATGCCCCCCAAACAAGCAAAACTCCTACACATGCATGGCATGTTCCTTCTGCCGAAACCTGCAACAGCTCCTGAGGTGGCAGACGCAGACCTCATCATCCGCTTCCAGCTGCTCAATGCTCTTTGTGGAAAAACCCTGCTGCACTTTGAGGGGGACAAAGATACAAGTCTTTACGGACCTGACAAGGGGAAATCTAGCCTGGTGTAGGTCCTTCCGACCTCAACTCCAAATACTCCGCTCCGGGAACATTCACTACCGGTGGGGGAGCCCGCAAACCCTCCTGATAACACGTGAGGGGAATACATATAGGGCTTGGAGTCCCCAAGACCTGGAATCGCACATCCGCACTATGGGACTGGCGGATCCTCCGCCGACAGAGGTCTCGGGACTGGCTCAACTCAATCTTGCCACCATACAGAATTCAATCCATGGGTGCCTCAACGAATTACATCCGCCAGGGCACCAACCATTGAGTACCGTGAGACCCCAACCATCCACTTTGCTAAAGTCTAGCCTAGACTATCTTTTACTTTGACTGTTATTATTAGTTATTTTTATTAGTTAAATGCAAGTTAACTTACCTGCCGAAATGCAATTAATCTTTATGTTGGTATTGTAATATCCCCTTTAAATGTAACCCTGCCTCTGCACGCATGGATCCACTCCCAAAAAACAAGGTGCACTTTGGTCAAATATATGGTATTCCAGCACTAGGACACTAATTCCCCTCTAGTACACTGGAGAGATATGATGTCCCTTATTGCATCGGCACTTGCCGCATTATATTAACAACACCCAACCCAAAAGAGGGTGCTCAGTTACTGGTGCCGTGACCACACTGCCCTTGATATACCACAACAACCTTAGGCTAATGCATCAGTAAAGTGATTGACCAAGGGTTAAAGAGGCTAATGCCAGACATCGCTCCGTTTTAAACCCCCCCTCACAACCTTCAATAGAGCTGAGACAACTTATTGATATAAACCCCAGTTTATTTAAAGTCCCCCCCCCCTTACCCATTTTAATAAAAAATTAACCCCTTCCCTGCCAATTGATCACTGACTACAGTGATCAATTGGCAGGGATTACATTTTACTATGATCTGATTTTTTTTTTTAACCCCTGAGGGTTAATTCTTTTTTTTTTTTAACCCTCAGGGGGTAAATTAATTAAATTAATTAATTAAATTATTTTTTATTTATGTATTTAGATAGCTAGGGTGGGTGGAAGTTAGTGGGGAATTGGGGGATTTGGAGTTAGGCTAACTAGGGGTTAACGTTAAAAAAGTTTTAAAAGAAACTTTAAAAAGTTAAAAATTAAGCTTAAAAATTTTTTTTAATAACATTTAAGTAAAAAAAACAAAAAAAACACACTTTACCTAGTCCAAATAAAAATTAACCCCTTCCCTGCCAGTCGATCACTGCCTACAGCGATCAAATAGAGATCACAGTATTATACTGTGATCTAATTTTTTTTAACCCTGAGGATTAACTTTTATTTATTTTTTTAACCCTCAGGGGTTCAATTTATTTAATTAATTAATTTAAATATTTTATAACTATATATTTTGCTAGCTGGGGTGGGTGGGAGTTATGGGAAAATGGGGAATTTACTGTTAGTGCTGCTTACTGCTAGTTAGGGGTTAACAGTAAAACATTTTAAATCTGTAAAAATAAAAGTTTTAAGAAAGTTT